CACAAATGTATAAAGAAACAACCCATAAACCAAGTCGTCAAATCATTCCCTATAAATCCCTAGGAAATCAAGCTCATAATTTTCTCCAGTGCATTTGAAAGACTCTCCTTGGAGGAAATTATTAGCTGGCGCTAATAAAATGCCTCACAGTATTAATTTTGTCCGCTTTCGGTGTTGGGTTACCATCAAGAATGCATAAATCAAGCCTTGCCAGGCATCGATCCCGATGGGTAATGGCCGGGCGATTGGAGGAGGCGGCGGCATTGTTACCAATTTATAAACAAACAAACGATTCGGTGGAACACAAAAGAAGGGACATCGATGAGCAGGCATCAAATTACTACAAGATCGGAGCCCAGAGCTCAGTCCATACCGTCTTACAAAACGTTTTCCGAAGCGGGGCACACAAGGATCAGCTTTCACGAGATGCAACTTAGACTGTGGGTCCCCAGTCGCACTGCAGTTGCAGTTTACAGCCAGTTTGTCATTCATCAAACAACGAAACACACAATAATAACGTTTTAATTGAACAAAAGACAAAGCCAACAAGAATCCAGATCCAGTTGAGCAACAATTGACAATTGTCCGTCGGAGATGTCGTAGGAATCAGCCTCGGATCGGATCGCAGTCTTTCCTTTATTCTGTCTGTCCCTCTGTTTGTCTGCAGTTTTGCGGCTGCCTCTTCTTTTGTGCCCCTGTCTCTTCAAGTCTGTATCTGTATCTGTATCCGTAACTACCACTGCCTCCCTGTCTTGTTTTTCTGAAGTGACTGTGACTGTCACCTTTCCATCAAGTTGAAGGCAGGCGGCAGTGAAAGGCTCTACGCTGATGTCCACGTGCCAAGCGGCATTGTTAAGCAACTTTTGTTCAGGTTGCTCGAAGTTAATTGATTAGCTCTCCATCCAAGCAAATACTGCGAAACAAAGCGAATAAACGTATAAAGGATCCCCTAATGAGGTTTACTTGTGGATGAAAACCATTGAAATCCAATAGCAAAACACATCTAATGAGTGGATTATATTTCTGGATGGACTGAGGAAGATACAATACAATAGTGTCTGCCTTGGCTTCCCTCCTTCGCTTCTTACCGCCTGCCAAAGCTTGACTCTGAGAAAATATCCTTTCTCTCCACCCACTACGTGTCCCCGTGAGAGCCCTCATAGTTCAGGCCTGCCTTTGCGTCCAGGACAATTAGGACTCACTCCCCCGTTGCGTGTTAGGGGCAACAGAATGCAAAAAGGGATCATGATGATCCTGCTGCGTTGCAGGTCCAGGTCCAGGCAAAGGGAAAGGCCATGGCAATGGCAATGGCAATGGCCTGGCATGTGGTCGGTAGACAGCCGTCTCCTTCCCCGTCTCGTGCCCCTCCGAACAGTGTCAAGGAGTTTTTGCGCTGTAAGATGTTTTTGCCAAGCACTTGCCGCTGCGGGCCAAGTCGTTTACAAATGACACACGAGCCGAGAGGGGCAGGAGGTTGATAAATGAACTGCAGCTGATAATGGATTTCGTGTTTCGGGCGGGATGGCCAGTGAAAGTAGCGCCGATGGTGAAGGTTCCATGGCGGGCTCGAGTTCCAGGGATGGCAAAATATGAGATAAGCCTACCAGATAGCGGGCCATGGACTCGATTTGAGGTGGTCCAGGCCGAAGAGCCGGAGAGCCGAAGAGCCGGGCCTAGGCCCCGATAAGCAGTGCCGTACGAAAGGTAATTAAATGCCATTAAAGTTGAGTGAAGAGAATGCCAGCATTCCATCGAGCAAATGTATCTGTATCTGTTTATCTGCTGGATGCAGTGAGAGTGGAGTTGCTGAGCAGAACGAGCAGCAAAAGAAACCAAACAAAACGAAGGAGGAGCTCAGAACACACACACACACAGAGAGTCAGAGTCAGAGACAGAGACAGATAAAGATGGGACTGGGACTGGGACTGGGACGGGGACTGGGCGACGGACAAATCAGACGGCGGCGCTCGACGATTAACATACAAAAGGATTTCGAAGAACTTTGGATCCCGCCTTCTTCTCATTGTGTCTGTGCGAGTGTCTGGGTGTGTTTCTGTTTTTTTTTTTTGTTTTTGTATCTCTGCAGTCCGTCGCTTCTTGTGGTTCGTTTTTCGTTCCCTCTGCGCCAATGGGCATGAATCACTTTGGGGCTGCAGAGCAGCAGAGCACCAGCAGAGGGCTGGGCATGTTTCGGTGAGGCAGCCAAAGCGACGACAGGGATTCAGGTTCGGCTTTGAACCAACTGCATCCTAAGCTAGACTCTAAAGTGCTTACTAACAGTTTCTTCCGGCTAGGGATAACTGACAAATTGCCTGGAAATATGATGCTCACAGTTGGACTGGGCAGGGGAGGGGAAGGCAGGGGCGGGCAGGGGAGGAGGAAATGCCAAGGGCCGGTCAGACGGCGGCAAGTGAAGTGAAGAACAGGGACAAAGGCTACTTAAGAAGCCTTGGCGCCAGTTCCATATGGTGTATGTGTGTGTGTGTGTGTGTGTGTACCAGAGAAAAGCCGCACTGTCTGGCAACGCTTAATTTGGCCAGCCTCCGGTCCAGACGTCGCGACCAAGCACCGACGCCACTGAGTAGGGATCTGAGATACTTTCTAGAGTCGAATACTACCATCTTTTGGGATTCATAGTGTCTTTATACACTATATTGAGTGGCTTCCAGTAGGAGAAACAGACAAGGATATCAAGGCGTCAAAGCTCTGACACGTGGTAGTCAGATATTAGAACTCCCCAGGAGGAAAGCTTCCAAAGATAGAATATACATACAAAAGAATAGAGAGATATATTTATTTGTTATCCAAAGTGTTAGATATTACCCCTTCTTCTAGCCCTCTTGTACGCCTTCTCGTACCCCTTTTGTAACCCTTTTGTACCCCTTCTTATACCCCCTCTTGTACCCCTTCTCGAACCCCTTCTTATACTCCCGCTTCAGAGCCCTTTTTTTAGAATCTTTCCTGCCTTCTTCTGCAGTTCAAGGCAGTCGCTGAGAGCCAAGTTAGTCAGCCAGGCGGCTCCACCTACCGCGATTCGAGCGCCGGCGTCGTCGTCGTCGTCGACTTGGCTGGCTTGCAGCACCTGCTGTCTTGGCAACAACTGCAAAAGTCGCAGCAGCAGGAGCAGGCGCAGCAACAACAACCACAATCTTTTGTGGCAGAGTCACGTTGGCTGCGCATGCGCGGGTGTTTTCAGGTTGAGTCGACTAAAGTAAAGAGTCATCTCTGGGAGCGGGAGCGGGGGCAGCGGCAGGGGGAGAAGCAGAGGAACAGCTAAAAAAGAAGGCAGTTAAAATGCATTTAGCTGCTGTGCGCTGGTATTGGTGCGGCTCTGTGCTAGCGAGAGTATCTGTGTGCGCGAGTGTGAAAGAGCCAGCAAGTGTCATTCCTATGGCGGCCGCTGCCCTTTTTTTTACTTCTTGCCAACCAATAAAATTATACTAATTCCTGACTTTTTGATTTCATTTTCTGTTTGTGCAACGCCCGTGTATCTGTGTATCTGTGTGTGTCTGTGTATCTGTGTATCTGTGTGGTTGCTAAGGATTTCGTTACCTAAACACGAACACACGTACAGACACCCGCCGAGTCATAGATACAAACACAGACACAGAGTCTTGAAAAGAAAACAGCTCGACTCGGGGGCTCTCGCTCACTCCTGTGGCCCCTGTGCTGTACGGCCCCTGGGCCCAGGCGATCTGGCTGCCTTTCTGGCTGGCAGCTTCAGACTCCAGCTCCAGGAATGCGTGATCGCGACCGGGCGAGACAGTTCGGTTTCATACTTGGCTCATTGCGCTCGTGCAACACCCCGAAAAGAGTAGCGAGGTTCTCAAATGTGCCCCTCTCTACTGGCTGAACTCGGCAGGAAAACGGTTTAAGGCTTTCGTAGTCGCTTTCTTGGACACTCTGGAAATACAAAAGTAAGTCAAGAAGATATTGGTGGCCAGAGGAAACTGTAGGATTCCGATATCCATACCCATAAGGCAAAGAATATATATTCTCAATGATATTCTAAATTGTTGCCGTTTGGGGAACTTTTGTTCCTTTCTTGCTAAAAAAAAAATATTTTTAAGTTTATAATTCATTGAAAAATTCGATTTTCAAAAGTATTCATCGGTAAAATAGTTACTTCAGTTAGAAAGTGTCCTCAAAGAGTGTCGAAAAGTGGCAGATAAATTCCTGAGAGAAAGCTACGAATATTACTCAACGTTTCCGGTGTTTCCTTTCTTATAAGCCACCCTCAACGAATCAGAAAAAAGTAGGGAATGAAATTTGAGTGCGCTCAAATGATGAAATCCCGAGTAATATCCGGAGAGTATTTTACATTCGACATTCTACATTTTATCCCGCCGTATATGTGGGTCGGTACGATCTGTAAGATAGCATATATTCGGCATATTTATTACTAAAATTATTTATGATATGGGTCTCGTTTTGTACGAAATTCTGACTTAAAACTCCACTTTTGTATGATAAATTGCGACGAGCGAGCCATCCGACTTGACTGTTGGTGTGAGTGAGAATGTGAGTGGAGTGGAGTGAAAGAGAGAGAGAGGCAGAGAGAACGAAACGAAGAAGATTTTTGACGTCGTGCTGGCTGGCTGGGAAACTGAAAAGTGGCGCTAGACGAGGTGCGTGATCATGATCATTGCCCCGATAATGATCATCCCAAAGAGGATGATGATGATGTGCAGGAGGAGGCGGAAGCGGCGGAGGAGGAGGAGGAGGGGGCAAGAACCAAAACTTTGAGAGGGCGCGCTCTCGTGTGTCTCAACGTCTGTCTCTCTCTTTCAAGTATTGCTCTCAAAGTGGAGCTGCCCGAAGACGAGAAACGAGCGGCGCGAACAGCGAACGCTCGAAAGCCGAACACGAGCGAGCCGAAGAGGCTTCGGTCGGCTGTTACTGTATCTGTATCTGAGTATCTGAATCAGGTAGAGGTAGACAGAAAGGCGTTAGTCGTTCCACAGCGCTGATCGAGTTTAAAACTATCCCGCTGCACGGAGAGCACAGAGCGGAAGCCAAAGTAAAAACTTAACATTACGAAAAACACACACAGCCGAAAGCTTTAAAGAAAATCCGTACTGCGGCGCGTTCAAACCCAAAGCGATAAATGTTCCAAAATTTGATGCAGAAACAAAGAAATCGATGAGTGTGTGCTGCCAAGTGGTGCGTGTGTGCGGTGTGTGCGGTGTGTGTGGTGTGGTGTGGAATGGAATGCCAACCGACAAGTTGTAAAGGGAAACCCTGAAATCTGAACAGCCGCCAGCCAGCGGCAAACAAAACTGTGAATACGAAACAAATACACGCAGCAGATACTGCCAAAGAGATACAGATACATCTCTTGTCTCTCGCGTGTGAAGTGCGCATCGAATAAAGCAACAACAAACAAAAACAAAAACCTAGCAAAAACAACAATAAATCTGCATAAACAATTGAGTCTCTCCTTGGAAAATATGTGGATTACAGCTACGACACGGCCCCGATGCCGCGGCGAGTGCTCGGACAAATGGCAAACGGGAAGAAAGTAACTGAATCCGAATGACAAGTGTATCTGCCAGATACTCACTGGGGAGAGTGTCATGTGCCGCGGCATTCCGACCGCAGCAACAACACGAAGCACAAACACCCAGCGCCTGGAGTGCGGCAATACAATTTTCAACAAGAACTCGATCTACTTCATCTACAATTATCGCAAGCGAAAAACCAAAACCAAACCAAACGGAGATACAGTAGCCGAAACACGCACGCCACCAAAACCGAAACCGAAACAGCAACAGCAACAGAAACAGCAACAGATACACAGTTACAGGTACAGATGCAGATGCAGATACAGATACAGATACATATACAGAGCGAGTGAGAGTGAGAGAAGTCCCTATCAGATATTTACACAAACGTGATTTATTTGAAAAGCGAAACGAGAGGCACAACAACAGTACTGAACGGAAGCCTCAAGTGCCATAAACATCTGTAAATTGTGCAAATATATCGGAGTGTAACCAAAAGCCGCACGGCGCGATAACGCACTCGCAGTGGCAGTGGCAGTAACCGTCGCAGACGTCATAAATTCAGTGGAACGAAAGGTGTCAGCCCAGCCTATAGACAGACCACGACAAGACCCCCGACCGACGAGACAGTTGGTCGCTTTTATTTTGCTTGCTTTTCGGGCAATCCATCAATATCTCTCTCTCTCTCTCTCTCTCTATATACAAACGGCGCTCAAATTAACGACTAAACACATGTCGTATAAATACCCACAGAAACGGGCCCACAAAGATCCAATATCAAGCGATATCATTCAACCATAGGAAACTTTATAAGACTGAGGTGAGTCCCGAACCAGATCTCGTTGGGGTTTTTCTTCTCGATATGCATTATTTTCACCCGCTTTTCCAAACCCTTCCCCCAGCTCGGACGGAGCCTAAGCTTATGTAAATGTGTCCCCAAAAAATCTGAACTTGGACAAGCTGTGAGAACCGCACACAAAACTGAACCATTGCATAACCAGAGTGGCATTCGATACGGAAAATTTGATATTGTTTGGGGAATGTTTGCTGGGAGGGGGCGGGGGGTAATGCATGTGGCTTCCAAGGGAGAGGGGATATCATTTCAAGTTGTTCTTTGACTCCAAAGCTGGAGAATAATTATTCGTAATGGGGAGATTACTCCAGATACATTAGATTTAATATCCTTCAAATCAACCAATCCCCATCCCTATAGAGAGGGCGTGATTACCAGCTCGAATCTTGATTTCCTTGCAACCCCTAGGCCTCCTCCGCCAGAGTTAATCAAAATATTTCTCCACGTACATCATAATTGTATTGAGGACTGTCTATCAGTGTTCTGGGAACTCGCTTGACCTTTGTTGGCCCGCACAATAAAGTACCGTACTTTCCGAAGATGAGACCCTCTTAAAAGGTGGAGAATAAAAAAAAAAAGAGAGATGGTCACATAAAAAGCGGCGGCAAAGACAAAACAAAAACGTCAATATCCTGGGGACATAAATTATATACAAAAATATAGATTTCGGTGCAGTTTACTTCTATTGTATCTGTATCTGTATCTGTATCTTTGGCCCAGCGAGGGTTTTGCTAATTGCTGACGTTGTGCGGCACAGATACAAATGTATCTGTAATTGTGTGCGTGTGTGTGTGTGTGTGTGTGCGATGATATTGGGTAACCGGAATGAAACGTTAATAAAAAATGTGTCAATTTGCGAAACATTTCGAAGTTTCTTTATTTATATTTTTATTTGTATTTTTTTGGTCTTTGAAATTTGAACTTTAGCATGGGCTTGCGACATTTCACAGTTCGAATAGAGAGGCAAGTCCGTGCCATAATTCATTGAGTGGACGAATGGCCGAGCTTGAAAATCCCCGAAAACCCCCGGGCGGGCAGGTAGAGCCGCTAGCATGTGGGAAATGTTGGAAAACAAAAAGTAAATAGAGGAGAAAATCAAGCTGAAACTCAAGCCACACGCTTGGCCACAGAACCTGGCGAGTTCTGGGAACGTATTTAAGACAAACAACAAATTATGAACAAATCATAAACATATTTATGAAATTCACCCATTTCATTCACCCTTCCCCCGCCGCCGGCCCGCTCCACACTGGCTCTCTCTCTCACTGCCGCTTAAGATTTCCCAATTTTCAATCCGTCTTATCAGAGCTGGAAGATCTTTTTCAGCCCTCACCGCCGGATGAGGACTGGAGGGCTCTCTACGGGTCTGGGGACTGGGACCGGGACCGGGACTGCACCCCCCAGCGTGTGCCATCTTCCATTCTTCTTCCCAATTTAACAATTTTCGAAAATTCCTTTTGCGCCCAAGCGCCCTGTCATATAACAAATTTTTTTTAGTACAAGATAAGATGCGTATCTTTATGTGAAGAACAACATGTAATTTGTTCTAGGTGTGTGTTTCTGTGCCTGTACCTTTTGGGCGCATCTTGAGATAAAATCTTGGAAATTTATTGCCTATAACCAAAATATATAGAATACTTCTAATAATTTTCATAAATTTTCCAGATAATTCCAGTGGGTTTTTAGTTTTGATTCTCTGTGAATTGCCGCCTGTTTATAAATCAAAGCCCGTGCGATAAGAACGCGGATTGAAACCTCTCTAATAACCGAAAACTTGCATCGAACCCCACATTGGATTGACCAGGGGGGCCTGTGACAGGGCAGGGGGGTGCCCTGGGGGCAGGGGCTGCATGGGACTATATTGAATTTCTAAGCGTAGACATAAAACGGGGCACAGCGAATGCTTTTGGTATGCCGATATGGCCCAGAAGATCGCGTGTCAGTCCGAAAGGTGCAATGTCCGCCCGGATTGCAACACTTGTACATAGGTAGGGGGGAGGGAGGGGGGCCGGGTTGGATATGAGTGTTTTAGAGAGAGAGAGAGAGAGAGGAGAGCCAGCCATTTTTTAGTTGCACCTTTCACCCTTGTGGGCCATAAAAGTTTCGTGGCAGGGCAGGGCAGGGCAGACCAGAGCAGGCGCTTCTTGAAATGTGCCAAGAAGAGTGCCCGGAGTGCCAAAGGAAGCGGCAGCAGCAGCAGCGGCAGCGGCAGCGACGGCGAGTCGCAGTCGGCGTCTCCCACGCAGCGACGCTGGCCGCAGCAGCGCTGCCTCTACCTGTGGTACCTGCCGAAAGAGCCCGATCGTGTGCCTCTCAGTCGAGCATCGCACGTCGTCGGGCACACACAGGCGCACACACACACACACACGCACGCACGAACAGAGGCAAGCAGAGTGAGCGAAAGAGCTGGGCCCGGCCCGTATAGTCGTCTCGCTCCAGCTCGGGGCCACACTCAAACACCGAAGCGCTCAAACGCTTGAGTGAAAGAGCGGAGGACCGATCGATCCGAAGAGTAACCCTTTTCGACAAATGCTAAACCATTTCTCCCATGTTTCTGTATCGTTCCAGAGTTGCAAGCGACCATGCGCGCATGGATTCTACTCCTCGCAGTGCTGGCGACTTCTCAACCGATCGTTCAAGTTGCTAGCACCGAGGATACGAGTATATCCCAGAGATTCATCGCAGCCATAGCGCCTACCCGCACTGAGCCATCAGCAGCATCAGCAGCGGCTGCGGCAGCAACGGCCACGGCAACAGCAACAACAGCATTAGCAAAAGCATTTAATCCCTTTAACGAATTGCTCTACAAAAGCAGTGATAGTGATAGTGATAACAACAACAACAACTACAAAAACCGCAACAACAACAACCTAAATAAAGGCCCAAGGAATAACAAAAACAAGGGCAATAAACATAGCAAAAGTGACGCGAATCGACAGTTCAACGAAGTGCATAAGCCAAGAACAGACCAATTAGAAAATTCCAAAAATAAACCTAAACAATTAGTTAATAAATCCAACAAAATGGCTGTCAAGGATCAGAAGCATCATCAGCCGCAACAGCAGCCGCAACAGCAGCAGCAGCAACATCACAAGCCAGCGACTACGACTGCGCTAACATCCACAGAATCTCATCAATCCCCGATTGAAACAATCTTCGTGGATGATCCCGCCCTGGCCCTGGAGGAGGAGGTGGCCTCCATCAATGTCCCCGCCAACGCAGGGGCCATCATCGAGGAGCAGGAGCCGTCGACCTATAGCAAAAAAGAACTCATTAAGGATAAACTGAAACCAGATCCCTCAACTCTAGTCGAGATCGAGAACAGCCTTCTGTCGCTGTTCAACATGAAGCGGCCGCCCAAGATCGATCGCTCCAAGATCATCATACCCGAGGCCATGAAGAAGCTCTACGCGGAGATCATGGGCCACGAACTGGACTCGGTGAACATACCCAGGCCAGGACTGCTGACCAAATCAGCAAACACAGTGAGGAGTTTTACACACAAAGGTGAGTTTTCAGTTTTCTCAACCAACTTTCGATCTTATATATAATTCGGTGGTATCTAAAACGAGGTCTATTCTTTTCGTATTTGTAAGAGGATCAAGGCAGGGTTGGGACATAATTTCGAGGCATTACAGTCACAGGAAACCGATTTGAACACCGATTTTTAAGCGACGTCCTAGAGGCTCTTAAGATCTAAGCTAAGATCCTTCAGTCCCCTTTGGTTTCCATTCTTCATATCGTAGTCTCAATTAATTTTCAAATACTTTCAATACATTTTAAGAGTGGTGTCTGTTGCATGGATTTGTGGCAATGAGTTCCAACATTGCAAATGGATATCTGGCCGATTTCTTAAGGATTATTTTATGATGAACTCAAGCTTGTCTCGTATCGATTATGATAGCAAATACTTTACTTTGTACGTACATGAATACATAGCTGAGGAATACATAGATTTCCACTCAAAAAAAAGGTCGATACTATCGCTATCACACACTAAAACCTTGATAGTTTTGTTATGCGATGACCTACATTTTTCACCTGCTCTCTGGTTGCCCTGGCTCTCTGGCAAAGGATTCCATACATCTTTTGGATTGATTTCCCCCTTTTTTCCACTCATGGGAAACGCGTACTTTCCGCTACTAAAATGCGAATGAAGAGCGTATCTGGATTTTCCCTGAAATACTGTTTCATCTAAGCGATTTGCATACCTGGCCGAGTGCATCATTCAAGCAGGCGCGAAGAACTGTGGAATCACGCGGAAATTCCGCAGCTTTTCAAAATGAACAGAACGCCGGAGAGGGTAGCAGGCGAAAAGGACAGACAGTGGACAGGTCCTTTTACCTGCCGGGCCGTTAGCCGTGCCCAAAAGTGACCTTGAGAATTTTCAACGGAATTACACCCGGAATGTTTAGCGCATGCGCTAAATGGCTTTTATATTGTATTTGTAGAAATAACAATTATTATTAAAACGTATTTCGCATTATTTTCCGCAGGATTAGAGGGACGGACAATAAAGCAGTTAGAACAGGGCAGGCTAGGCCGGTAACAGCAAACAGGTAACCAATCCAGTCCAGTCCAGTCCAAGCCAACAAACCGGCATGGCTAAGTGTCTAGGGCCAAGTGTCTAAGCCTCAGTTCGGTTTGCCTTGGCTACGCTTCAGTTTTGGTTACGGATTCGGATTCGGGTGCGGCTGCGGGTGTAGGGTTTCGGTTCTTGATTCTCAAAAGAATTTACGACTATTTTCCTTTTGTATGTCCTGTGTGCAGCACTCGAGAGTGGTAAGATGGTAGCTGCTGCGGCATCGACAGCGGCATCGATTCAAATTAAGATTTTTCAGCAAGCGTGCAGAGTTTGCACCTTGCCGGATCGGATCGGATCGGATCCTCAAAGGTAGGCCAGGGTGGGCCAGAGTCTTTAGCACAGGCGCCAGTCGTAAAAAGGCGGCTGGACAGCGGCAACTGGAACGTGCGATTTTCGACCTGTTTTCCCGTTTTCTCTGAGGAAACTCAAGTAGTGGGAGTTTTTAAGCAGGGGCTACTTACGATCGCAGGTAGAAGCCAGGAGAACATGCTCGAATGTCTGTCCGATCACCTGCCGTGGTACGTGGTACGCAAATTCTGTCAGTTTTTATGTCCCCTTCCCCCCCCCTGATCGAGAATCTAGCGGATTATCATAGTTGATTCCCTGATCCGCACTTACAATATCGAAACCACTTTTTCCTGATCCGGATATCGGAGTCTCTCGGGCACTTTGAACCGTTCGCTGATCGCAGAGAAGGGGCTTTGATGCCACATCCTATATGTATGATTCTTACTCAAATCGAAACTCTCCTTCTTTTGCTTTCAATTGCAGATAGTAAAATCGACGACAGATTTCCTCATCATCATCGGTTTCGGTTGCACTTCGACGTGAAGAGCATACCCGCCGAGGAGAAGCTGAAGGCCGCCGAGCTGCAGCTGACCCGGGACGCGCTTGCGCAGGCGGCGGTGGCTTCCACGTCGGCGAACCGGACACGGTACCAAGTGCTCGTCTACGACATCACCCGCGTGGGTGTCCGGGGACAGCGGGAGCCGAGCTATCTGCTGCTCGACACGAAGACAGTGCGTCTGAACAGCACCGACACGGTGAGCTTGGACGTGCAACCTGCCGTGGATCGGTGGCTGGCTACACCGCAAAAGAACTACGGCCTGCTGGTGGAGGTGCGGACGATGCGCTCGCTCAAGCCGGCGCCCCACCATCATGTTCGCTTGCGCCGCAGCGCGGACGAAGCGCACGAGCAGTGGCAGCACAAGCAGCCGCTACTGTTCGCCTACACGGACGATGGGCGGCACAAGGCGCGCTCGATACGGGACGTGAGTGGGGGCGGCGGTGGCGGTGGCGGGGAGGGTGGCAAGGGCAACGGAGGCGGCAGGAATCGGCGGCACCAACGGAGGCCGGCGAGGCGCAAGAACCACGAGGAGACCTGCCGTCGGCACTCGCTCTACGTGGACTTTGCGGACGTGGGCTGGGACGATTGGATCGTGGCGCCACCGGGGTACGATGCGTACTACTGCCACGGCAAGTGCCCCTTCCCGCTGGCCGATCACTTCAACTCGACGAACCACGCGGTGGTGCAAACCTTAGTCAATAATCTCAATCCAGGGAAGGTACCAAAGGCCTGCTGCGTGCCCACGCAGCTGGACAGCGTCGCCATGCTCTATCTCAATGACCAAAGTACAGTTGTGCTCAAGAACTATCAGGAGATGACAGTGGTGGGCTGTGGCTGTCGATAGATTCGATCGAGCCACTGTAGACAGAGCCGAGTGTAAAAAGAGAGACCAATCGAATGAATCGAATGATTCGAATGAATCGAGTGTCGAGAGATCGCGAGCGAGAGAGCATCAAATGCTGTTTGGTTCCAAGCCGTCAATGCTTTAAACACAACGCAAACAAAATGGACTGAATATTTGAATTTTAAGTGTAAATCGTTAGACTTTAATTGTACGAGTATATACATATGGATGCAGCCGATACCCCACAACCCACGCCCCCCTGCCCCCTGCCCCCCGCCCTATCGCGCCACCTTGGAGAGGAGCCTCTGTCAGTTTCCACAGCTAGGCTTTGGAAAACCCTTGATCAGAGCAGATCCCAGCGAGAGAGCAGAGTCAACTGTAAATAGCCGCCATGCCCAGCCACCAGCCACCAGCCACCGACCACCGACCACCAGATAGCCATCGAGGATACACAGGAGCTGCTGAGGAGAAAAACAAAGTGAACAAATTGTATAAAAATGCTAAAATATAACTATTATCTGTACGAGTACGAGAACGAGGAGGAGGAGGAGAACTTTTCTACTAGCCTTTTTTTGTTAATAATTTTATAATGAAAAAAATCACTTGTAAATTTACTAGAGCACTCAAGCGATAATATAATCGATGGAAAATTACTTGAAATTATTTAGGAAATACCAACCCGATATGCACCCACACCCACACACATACAATAACTGTCTCTTGTATATGTTCTGTTCGAAATCCTTATATATCACACTCACCCACACACAAAAAAAAAACATAAATCTACGAAACGGTATTCAAACTTCGTTCCGAAACCAACCTAAACGTAACTGTAAAATAAAAACAAAACAAGATGGAAAATTCTAAACTAAAATAAACTATGCTCTATGAATATACATATAAATATTTACATCGTTATGCGTTCTAAGCTAAGCTCGAATAAATCCGTAAACGTTAATTAATGTAGCCATATAAGATTGAACAGTTAAGCTCAGCATGTTGGATAAATTAGTAGAAACGAAACGGAAAACCACAAAAAAAAACAAACAAAAAAAAACACCAGAAAACTCGAAATGAAAATATCGATTCGTGCCTGATGTTGCAGAGCACGATTTGTATATGTATTTTTTCATATAAACTTTATTATTTTATTTATTTAAAACAAACACACACACACACACATATTTTTGATGATGCAATGAATGCAATGGAGCGACGAGGAAAAAGAAAGAAAGAAAAAAAAAATATAAGAGAAAAAAAATTTATTAAAAACTATTTACATTGAAGTTTATTTTTATTTATTTTATTGTATTTTAGGTGGGGAGGAAAAAAAGGCATGCCAAGAACTTGGAGTAAAAGGCTAAAAAAAATGAATTTAAAAAATAATTATATTCGAAATTTGCCAAAATTATCCATAAAATGTAAACATTTTGGATAGACGGTGTAGCCATGGAGCCAGATGGAAGTATCTCGAGTCCACTATTTCTAAAAAATAAAAAAAATATTATGCATATTGTCGTTTATGAATAAACAGATCATGTTTCGGCTTGCTTCGAGATCGGACCACTATATGGCATAGATGCCATAGAGACGATGGTTCGAAAAACAAGTTTTTGTAAGAAAAGCTTTTACACAAGTCTGAAGATCTTGTCAAAATCTGACCACTTTATGCTACCTATATATTGGAGCTCCCACTAGTGGCATGGTCACTGATGGGTCGTCTACATACTGGCTATAAAGAACAAATTCAATCTCTCAAAGTTCAGTAGTAAAATTCCACAAAAAGAAACACTCCAAAAGAGACGCCATTATCCTTCGAGCCGGATTTGAACCAGCGACCTATGGATGACTGCTCCATAGCTCCATAGGATCTACGAGCCCAATCACTTCTACAGTCCACCGCTCTACCAACTGAGCTATCGAAGGCGTTGTCGAACCAGGTGCCAATTCGAAATTTCCCCCGCTTATCAGACGTCGACAGAAAACAATTGCAAACTGCTTATCGCAGCATAACGTAAGCCCACAAGAAACAGTCAGAGACACGCCCCACGGGAGCAGGCGCGCAGATAAGCAGACAAGAGGCGCAAGAGCACCTTAAGCAGTCTATAGATTACAAATAAAACACATGATGATGTATGCAAATAAATCGGTAGGGTGAAAAACCCGCTACTAGCCCGTGCCACAGCGGGTGCGGGTAATTTGTGGTGCGCCCCAACCTAAATGACATTAAATAAGCCAGATCCAAACGGGTGATAACGATCGGCATCTGTAGACGACTGTGGACGGCTGGCATATCAACTTTCCATCGAGCTGTCTAGAGCTTAACAAATTGCCGGCCAACGGACTGACAGAAATGTGTATGGAAAAACTATTCAAACAGCTGAATGAACTTTGATGCTGATAAGACTGGGCAATAAATTTGAATTATAATAAGTTGATTTCTGTCCAACAGAATTCCAGTAAACTGGTCGTCCAACGCAAAGTCTAGTAGGGAATATTGTCTGAAGAAATTGTGCCTTTTAAAGGCTGCAAACGTTTAAATATAGATAAATTAAATACATTTCCAATATATATAATATTTAATTAAACATAGTGTAGGTGTTTTTGAGAATTAAATAAAACTTGTCATAGTTATTTTGCATTTAAAAAAAAGTCCAGTATTTAAAGCTTTAAAACGTTAGAAGATGAGTTACAATTTTATCCAATATTTCATATAAAAATCACTTATTTTTTTCGGTTTGCATTGAAAAAAAAAACCAAATAGTAGGGAATACTGTCTGAAGAAATATAGCTTTTTAAAGGCTGCGATCGCTGAAATTTTGATAAGTAAAATATATTAAAAATAAATTTTACATTTAATTAAACATTGAGTTGGTGTTTTTAAGTGTTTAATAACACTTAATAAGTGTTGTTTGTCTGCATTAAAAAAAAGTCCGGTATATAAACATTTAAAACCCTAGAACAGACCTTCGATAAATTAGTTTTTTTTTCAAAAATTACAAAAAATATTTTTTTCTAAAATTCTCTAATTTTTAAACTTTTAAAAGAAGCGAACGTCGATGAGTAAAAATTTTTATCAAAATTTAAAAAAAAAGTCTTATATTTAAACTCTAGAAGACACCATCGATGAGTTATAATTTTGTTGGATATATTTTATGAATGAGTACTCAATCAGTCGCATCAATCAAAATCACGCTGCTGAGTGTAATAATCGAGATTGCATTGGGGCTTGCCCTAGACTCAGTTACACTACGAGACCTAGAAACGACCTACATACTCGTACATATAGCTATTTTTAGTCCCAATCAAACCGTTTCAAAACTACAGTGGAACCAGCGTTGAAATCGAGAGGCAATTGCACTAAAAGTTCGAGCCTGAGGGAGCCAAGGAACGAGCCAGCGAATGGGTCAGATGGTTAGATGAGTCACGCGGGGATTGTGTGCTGGCTTATCGGGGAGTAAATTAATTTACCCATCCCCTGGACGACTGCAGCGGCTGCACACTGCACTGTGGCAAAGTGAAATTTTTCGGCTCAATTAAATGACTCATCAGGCGGCAGAGTAGTGATGCTGCCCTGCCACACACAATGTGAGCCACGATAAGGTGTGCCTCGGTCGGGATCCGGGATCTTTGCTAAAACAGTTCCTAGGGGTTTCCTAGGAACTTGGCAATTTTTCGTTGGTTCTGTTAGATTTGAAGAGCCGATAGGGCAGCGCCCACATATAGAGAGAGGAAATTCTGCTGTGGAAATTCATTCAATCATAGCAGAAATTGATACCTAGATCAAGAGGGCCCGGCGACCAGGAGATCTCAAATCGCTGATAAACAAAATTGGGCAAGAAATGTTAAAACGGAGAAACTAAGCGGAGAAACGACTCGAGTCATTCTTAAAAATTATGAGAATTTGTTGTAACATACCTGAGCAAATTACAAATAACTAACCCAGAGGTTACTCGGACCTCGGGACCTCGGGACTCGAGCCCTCGCCGCGGGAATCATTTTTCGTTATCTAACAAGGCATTTTGAGCAATCGATCCACACGCACACAGGGACCGGGTACGGCACGGCACTCTTCTAACCTTACTCAATGGATCACAAACAAATTGCCGCTCATGGCGCTTGGACCGCCATCTCAGCTGTCCCTCATTTCCTCCAACCCATCTGTCGCTCTCTCTCTCTCTGCTGGATGGGTTTTTGGTCGGTAATTATCCGTAAGCTGTCAGTTTTTTCGCTCCGCTTCATCCAATGCACCTTTTTCTGGAGATGGGAACTAAACGATACTCGGACACGAATAGATGTTAAGATATGTTATTCCCACAGCTTTTAGCCCAAGCCAAGAAGGCCTGGAGATTTCGTGAATCACGCTCTCATCCCTAATTTATATACATATATAGATTAACTGATATTGGTCGGCTGGTCGGCATTCGGTTGTGTGTGTGTGTTTTTTATGACTTTCCGCATTTTTGGCATCCTAATTGGTTTGTTAAGTATTTCTCTCGTTTCACCTTTTGGACCCGTCAAAAATTGCCCCTTTGGCTTATCAGGAACACACTTTGTCCGTGGCAGAAGCGGCTCCTAGGCCCAGAAGCGGACCCTGGCGGCCCACCACTTGACTGATAAGCCCGATCGTGTCTTGTGCGCGTCTCGGGCATGAATCACCTGGGCTTCACTTTGGCCCACAGGCGATGCTGCGATGACTCACGGCCGGGCGTTTCCTAGGTGGCCGCACTAATTGTCGCCCCCGATGGCCACCTTCTTTGTTTACACTAGGCGCCTTCCTTTCATCTCACCGAACCACCGAACCACCGAGCCACTCCAGGCAGCGCCGAACCGAAGCGAAGACAAATCGAGTTTTACATTCGTTACTCCCCAAAAACGATCGCCTCACCGCTCTTCTTTCGCCGCCTCTCTCTCACTGATAAGTCGCCATTAATCCAATTGGCTTTTGACTTCGTTTTGCGGCCTCCGAATATAGACCTTCGATAGCTCAGTTGGTAGAGCGGTGGACTGTAGAAAGAGTTTCCTAGTGTAGACATCCATAGGTCGCTGGTTCAAATCCGGCTCGAAGGATTCCAACTTTTTTTTTTAATTCAGTTTCTTCTTTTTTGGGATTTGTTTAGTCATATTAGAGCAAAAAATATTAAAAAATTTGTTTAGTAATTGTTGTAGACCCTTGTAACTAGTTATGTATAGTTTTAATTGGTTTTCCATATGGAAAATATATTTTAAGGGCCTGTGATTAAATTTCCTATGATATGAACTATAGTTTCTTTTATTTTTATTCGGTTTTATTAGCTTTTGTTAACTTTCATAAGATATTTTAGATTTTTTGACTAATATTTTAATACAAACTTTAGTTTAAAATGCTTTCTAATCTAATTCTGTGAAGCCAAAGTCTTGCCAGATGGACTGAAAATCATAAATAGCTTTATCGAATAAAATCAAGAATATCTCCTCCACTTTTTAGCCTCCAACTCCAAATCAGAAAAGCACCTTCAAGGCTTCAACAGTCAATAGATTCTGGTTTACTCTGCTGTAACAAAAATATTAAAAATCTCCTCATTGGTCATCATTTTCAGGAATATTTCAAATCAAAAAATGTAATAAAGTAACATCCCAACAAAAAATAAACAAAAACTAGACCAAAGCAAAGTAAATTATAATTATTAACACATCAAACCATATGGAAATCAACTCAAGAGGCTGCCAACTCGATCGAAATAAACCCCTGAAGAAGCTCAAAAAGAATCATTAAAGAGAATACAAATTGTAACGAGAATTACAGGCCTCAATTTGCATTTGTCCAATTACAAAGGAACGAACATTCAATGGGACAACAATACCGGCCAACTGGTAGCCAAAAAGGCAACAAAGGCCACAAATATAAAAGTCCATTTCAGAGTCAGAGTCGGAGTACGAGTCTCAGACTTTTCGACTCAAAAACGATGAATTGTTGCAGACGTCCTGCCGCTTTGGCTGCCGTTTCTGTGGACCGTTGTGGCTGGCACTGGCCTCCTGCTCCCAAAACAGATGCTATCAATACATCATTTGCCTTTGTGCGGCTGTCACAAATTCATTCACCTGTTCTCGGGCCACGACTTCATCATCAGGGGCACCAGCAGCAGAAGCAGCAGAAGCAGCAGCTCGGACAGACCATTATACTGCGTTGATCTCCAATTAGGCTGTCGAAACTCCATTTACACGGATCGAGACTGG